GCTATTTCTAGAGGAACTAGGCAAGGTTGCCCTCTGCTGCCGCTGCTTTTTGCCTTGGCAATAGAGCCGCTGGCAGAGGTCATCAGGATGAATGACAGTATAAATGGCCTCAGGATTGCCAATAGGGAGCATAAAATTACTCTCTATGCTGATGATGTTCTAATTTTCACAACAAACCCAGAGACATCAATTCCGTGCCTCATTGAGATAATTAATGCTTTCGGTAGTTTTTCAGGTTACAAGATTAATTTCACCAAATCCGAGGCTATGCCTCTGGGCCCTTTGACCTCAAAACAAATACCTTTGGGATCTTTCCCTTTCAAGTGGTCTCCGGAGGGTTTCACTTACTTGGGAATACGTATAACACCTAAAGTTGAATGTATGTATAAAGCTAACTTCCCCCCATTATTTGACCGCATTCGGCTCGATCTGGAGAGATGGAATGCGCTTCCTCTCTCCTGGATGGGCAGAATCGTACTATTAAAGATGAATGTTCTTCCTAGGCTACTTTACCCATTACAGATGGTTCCTGTCTTGCTGTCTCGCAAAGTAATTAAACAATTAAATGACTGGTTCAGCTCCTTTATATGGTCTAAAAGAAAAGCACGACTTAAGATAGCTATGCAATGCCGTCCTTCAGCAGAAGGAGGTCTTAATCTCCCAGATATTAAACATTACCAAATTAGCACACATCTGCGCATCATATCTGATTGGGTGCATAACAAACCCACGTCATTGTGGATAGATATAGAAAGCTCTATGTCTACATGTTCATTAGCAAATTTATTATTTCTTCGAAAGACTAGATCCTTAAAGCTAGCTTGTTCCAATCCCATTACTCTCGCAACAGCTAATGCATGGCGAATGGTTAGAAAGCTAGAAGGACGGTTAAATACTATTTCTTGTCTCACGCCTATATGGAAAAATCCAGAGTTTGTGCCAGGTATGTTTGATAACAGGTTTCAAATTAGGGCACATAAGGGGTTATCTAAACTGCAGGATTTGTTTGAAGGACCTACTCTTATGTCATTTAATCAGCTACTTGGAAAGTATGATATCTCAAGGAGTATTTTTTACCAGTATTTGCAGGTGAGGGACTTCATCCGAAAGGATACTGCAGATTTGACATTTCAGACACTGAGAGACACATTTTTTTAAACAAATCATTTGGCTCTATTAAGATATTTTATAACATCCTTAAAGGGTTTTCACCCGTGAGCACTACGCACTTGAGGGAGCTGTGGGAAAAGGAGCTTGACTGTGCTATTACCAGGGATGATTGGGAAAATATTTGGGGTAATGTGAAAACACTGTGTGTTTGTAATAAAGTAAGAGCAACTCCGCTTATGATTCTCCATAGAGCCCACATCTCTCCGTACCTACGTCACAAGTTTAAGCCTGACTCTCCACTATGCCTGAAGTGTAAAGTTGAGATAGGTACACACTGCTTTTGGTCCTGTGTTAAAACAAAACATTTTTGGCAAGTGATTGGACAGGAAATGGGAAAAATATTTTCTCTTAATTTGAACTGTAACCCTCTGTTTTTGTTGCTTGGATTGACTGACCTGTTATCAAGGACAAATACCATAAGAAATTGTATAGATTGCTTACTTTTTGTGCCAGGAAATGTTTGCTGATTAACTGGATTTCGGACCAGATTCCCACAAGGACACAATGGCATAGAACTGTCTTCGGCTACATCTCCCTTGACCATCTGACCATTTGTTTGGTTGTGTGTTTGGTTTTGCATTATTGACTTACTCACTTTTTAATTCTGTTTATTGTCTTTTGTATGTATGTTTATGTAAAATTTAAAATGTCAATAAACACATTATAAAAAAAATAAAAATAAAAAAAAGTAAAGAGTAAAACCAACAGTTTACAAAGTCCAAAGTACGTATGTTTGAGACCAGGTCCAGATGAGGAGAATGTTAAAGTGATAACTCTAAATGAATTACAAATGTTAAGAATTGTATTAAATTGACCTGGCCTTAAACGTTGATATAAAATAAGTCATTTTATTAATTCTAATATTACAGGTAAGTCCCGCCTTCCCTTCTCTTAGCTATAGCTCAGAATCTACGATGCCGTCCACGTTAACCAATCAAGTCATGCCAAGGGCTGTCAATCATCGGCGCTCATTCTCGTAGCTGCGCGCATGCTCAGTAGTTTGTTTTCGCGGAGCCTCCGAATCAACCCTTTATAGGCTCTGGAACTACATGAAAACTGAACAAAGAATTCTGAACATCCGCGCTGAGTTACCCATTTATATACTGAACCTATATCAAGGCAAGGCAAGTTTATTTATATAGCACAATTCATACACAAGGCAATTCAAAGTGCTGAACAAAACAAGAAAGCATTAAAATCATAAATAATCACAGAACATTAAAAAGAAAGCTAAAAATATAAAATCCCTTAGTTGTATGCACAGCTAAACAGAACTGTCTTTAACCTGGTTTTAAACATTGTCATTGTCATTGTTTATATAATTATAAATGATTATATCTATAATCATTTATATACTGAACCTATATCCATAATCATTTATATGCTGAACCTATATCCGTAATCAGATCCTCTGCAGATGTGTCCTATAATGTTCAATTCATGATAATAGCTACTTCCGGGTTTGCCGCGATCGCTTTTTTTGTGCATTAAAACACCTTTTTTTCATGAGAACGTTAACAAATAATTCTGAAAACCTCCGTGCATGCGTATTAATAATGTATATGTATAATATGTTCTCAGATTAACATTTAAATTTACGCCCAAGTTTACGGAAACTTAGCCGTAGACCAATCAGAAAGGAAGGGGGAGGGAGCTTGCGTCATTTTTTTCAAATCAAGTACCTCTTTCTCTCTTTCTGAAAAACTGCAGACAATCACTTTAAGTACTCTGATCACTCATTGCTTGTTGGTAATGTCCTCACTTATGGGAAGGGATTCTCAAACAAATATACACACGACAACTTAAATACAAGCACAAAACAGAATGGCAACACGGTGGCTGAGTGGATAGCACTCTCGCCTCTCAGCAAGAAGGTCCTGGGTTCGAATCCCGGTCGGACCAGGGCCTTTCTGAGTGGAGTTTGCATGTTCTCCCCGTGTCTGCGTAGGTTTCCTCCGGGTACTCCGGTTTCCCCTACCATTAAAAATATGTCCAATAGTTCTGGCATGCGCCTCCTGTACTGGCGACCCCGCTCCCATCTCTGTGTGGAGTGAGAGATAAATGCCCATAATTAACAATTGTAAACCGCTTTGAGACTCAGATCTGCAGTGAAAAGGCGGTATATAAATAAAAACTTACTTACTTACACGTGAATACTGCAGATAATACGAGATAAAGCACAGTTGCACAGGAAGGACGTTAGCTTAGCTTGCTATAGATAGCTAAATGAAGCTAAATGTAGCTAGCTCAATGTGTACAACAGACTATCAATCATTCACAGGAGTAAATACATTTCAGTGAGAACTTTGGGCCAACAGGATACGTAGCTAACCAGTTATTTCCAGGATTACCACAGACTAGTCACAAATCCAGAGCGATATCCCTGAAAAACCTCGTGAAACCTCCGTGTTGAGCCTCGAGCTGCCTTTGAATTCTGTCTTTTGGCCTTAAGAGAGTAACGGTGGACCTGGTCCACCGACCAGGACGCTGACTTTTGGGGCTTTCTGTGCGATTTCATTTGTCTGGAGTGAGGAGGACGTAATGTAGCCGAAGCCGAGCAGAGCAGCCGGTTTTAAAGATGGCGGTTGAGTTGTTTTTCCTAAAGGGTCAGACGTCTCTTCCAGTGACGAGACTTGTTGACCAATCAGTGTAAGGCTGACGTCACGTCATGGTATCGGTACTACGGAGATGGAACCACAGTCGAGGTGGTACGAAAAAGTACACAAACTCTGATACCAAATACCAATTGACATGAAGAACGCTGACATGCTTGCAATACCACCCCGGGCCGATGGGGGTGGACCCGGAATAAGAATATAGCATCTTCTTACCTCTCGAAAACGTCTTTAGAGGATTGTCCAAAAGTGGGCTCTTGTCTGGCAACCTGAGTCAGGGAGAGTGGGAGAGGTTGCAGGACCATTTTTGGCCAGATTTTTACATACTGCTGCTTTAACCGAGTTTTATGAGTTATATTGGGAAAATATCTGGGTAGCCCACGTGATTTTCGCCTGCAGTACCGTGAGAATCCCCGAGCACATGGGTCTTTCAGCACCAAGCTAGAAATACCCTATCCACATATACATGTATTGTAATACATTCATGATTCTGAACCGGTTCTGAGAATTAATGTGGCAAAGACCAACTACACTGTCCACAGGTTTCAACAAAACTTATCCAGACAACAAGCAAACACACAAAAAACTTCTTATCCTTCACCCTGGGCTCATAATTGCCCCCTACCAAGCGAACGGGTCGCTGTGTGCCTCTGTTAGTACATTTTTCAAGTTGTGATTTAGCTCAAAAAAGGCGCGCTTTAGTTGTGAAAAACACAATACATGATGCAACCGCTATACTGTAGACATGTTGCTTGTAAAGGAAATTTGTCTGAACATTACAGTAAAACAAAAATAAAGAGAAAACCGTAGGATCGCACTGCTACTGAGGCATTTGAGTCATCCATCTGCGGCTCGGATCCTCCCTCACTGCTCACTCAAATATGATAAAAATATGAATTAAATATGTAATTTCAAGGTAAAAATGTATTTTAAAAAAAGGCTAAGTTATATATATATTGCATCAGAAAAATCACTTGATAAATATGTATTTTCTTTTTTTTCTTTTTTTCTTTCCTTGTCTGCTCCCGTGACCTGATCAGGTATCAAACCTGATAGTTTGAGACTGGCAGAGGGAAGTTATTGTGCCTGAAGTTACTGTATATGCAACCTTTTAACTAAAGCACATCCACTCTTGAGAAGACGAGACATGGAGCGGAAAGGAAAAGGAAGGCCAGATAATGAACATTAGAAAGTGACTGACGTTCCGTGTTTCAGTGTGGGTGGAGTGCTCGTCATCGCAAGCTCAGATCCTGCACAACTACAGCTCGGCTCTCCAGACCCTGAGCCGTGTGTCCTGTGTCCAGCTGCTGGGTGACCCTGCCCAAGCCGGAGACCAGGCACCCTCTGCTCCTCCTAAAGGCTGTGTCGTGGGGGTAGTGGACCACACATGCACTCTGCACCTGCATGTCAAGGTACACCTGGAATATAGACAGTACTTCTGTGTAAGAGTTGTGCCGTTTTTTCCACAGTCCGAGTACGGTACGTTTTGACTCTACACGGCGTGCCATGGCCCAGTTCGCGTGCTTTCCCATCAAAAATAGTACCCCCAGTATGTCCTCAGCGTTGTCAGACCACGTCATTTACGTGTGACGCGTACGGTGGTACGGTGCATGGATTTATTACAATACCAGAGCAAGTGTTTAATAGAAAATTCAGCACAGCACGAGTAGTTTTTGAAAACTACTCGTTTTCAAAAACTACTACGAGCAGAGCAGCCGGTTTTAAAGATGGCGGTTGAGTTGTTTTTCCCAAAGGGTCAGATGTCGCTTCCAGTGACGACACTCGTTGACCAATCAGTGTAAGGCAGTGGGCCAAAGTGACATCATGGCACGGGTACTATGGGGATGGAACCACGGCTGAGGCAGTACGGAAAAGTACTCAAATCTCCCATTCCATCCACTAGTGGAAAAGCAAAATAGGTGCGCCGTACCGTACCGAAATGAACTGAACCGACACTGTGGAAAAACGGCATTGTGTGCTAGTGCTACTTATACTTACATTCCTCAATTAGTGTCACAAGTCTTTCAACATTTTTTAAAACTAGTTTATAGTCTCCATACTATACAAACATTTAGTTCAGGAATAATCACACTGAACTCTAAATAGCTTAAATGTTTGTATGTAAGTATCTTTGAACCATTGACTGTATATTAGCCACAAACTCTGGTATGCATGCATACAGTGGCATATATTTGAAGTCACAAAATAATATTGTCGCAGTTTGTTTCGCAACTGGCCATTTTGAAATAATAAGAGGGTTAGAAATACACAGCTGTCACTCTTGGTTCATTTGAGTAGCATTATGATGACATGCATCATCTACATTAGCATCAGTAAAATGTTCCATGGCCTTGTATGAATCCTTACACTTTCAAACACTTTAAAATCCATCACTTTTCTTCCCCTTATGGTTCAGACCGGATCGTGCATTGCGTCGGGTTTCAATGCACGGACCTGTCGGCACGCACGGACGGACTGTTCAGTAGGCACGCACGGACTTGGTGGGAAAGTCAAAGGGGAGGAGCAGGAGCAAAAAATCGACGCCCACAGGAGATGGATTCTGCTCATCCTTTCCTTGGGACGTTCGTGCGACAACCAATCAGAGAGCCGCAAAGTGGTCACGGGGACATTAGCGGACTGAGCGAGCAGACTTAAAATACTCGTAAACAGCCAAAACAGGACCCACACCAGGCTTCACCAGAACTCAAACCAGGGGTGACAATGGGGGACTCTGTGCTTGTGAAAATATGCGTTGTCAACTGCATCGCCGATGCGGAAATACGTTTAATAATATGAAGAGTGCTATCCACTCAGCCACCGTGCCGAGTAGGGTTAAGTGTCTTGACACAACAACAGCAGACATCAGTGGGAGTTGTGAAGTAGGTCTTATGGTGGCCTCAAACCCACAACCTACAAAGGCCAATGCTCTACCAACTGACACTACAGTGCAAAAGCTCTAAATTTTCATCTATGAACAAAGATAAAACATTCAAGGAAAAGTCTATTAGCATTAGTCATTATTCATTTCACTAAGTGAGCTGCTTTTGTTAAATAGTTTTAGCACATGACATACTGAGCAACTACAGCAAGACAGATGTAGAAAGACATTCTATGCAGTGGGAATTCAATGTTGACGCCTTGCTACAATATTTGCATTTTTTTGGACGAATATTTTTTTCTAATCTTCTTTATTAGGGAACCATGCTGAGTTGTCTTATTATCTCTAGGCCTCAACAAGCAATTGGCCAAATCCTCTATATTTCTGATGTAATGAATTTTTTTCACAGAGTGGCGTAAATGTGGACAAGCAAATTTCTGCGCTGTCCCTGCGTAGAGCCAGGCTGATGCCCAAGCTGGAGCAGCTCCTGATCCGGGGCCAGTCCCAGGACTTCCAGACCAAAGTCCCCCCACATGTGAGAGACAGCCTGGCCAGGAAGGTAAACTAACACAATAACCTTGTTTTCTATAAAGTAATACATGATTTTTATACATACATAAATAACTTTCAAACATTACATTACATTTCAAAAATTACCTAAATATATTCTCTAAACAATAATACAATTTCATATTTTTTTTTAGTAACTATGCTTTGTTGAGTTGGATGTTCCCTCTTTTTCATGGATCTATTATAAGATCTGCATACCTGTGGGGTATCACTAGCTTATACTGTAGGTGTCCCATCCATGTGCACGGGGGCACCCACGGTACTAGAGACTAAATTTACGTGGGCTACCCAGAAAAAAATCCCATAGATCTCAATGTAAACTACAATTGCTCAACCTCAGCTGAAAGAGAACCTACAACTTTTATATAGGTTGGATTTTGTGGGGATTTGAGTCTCCCTTGCCATCCTGAACTTTTTTTCTTGTTACATCCTTCGGTTTTTTATTAATCCACACTTTAATGCAAACATGTTTTGCTCGTTTTCCTCCCGCTTTAGTTGCGATCTAGCTCCGCTCTGATCAGTAGCTGCTGATAGGTCAGAAAGCCACACATTCGCCAAATAGTAAGTAAGTAATCTTATAAATATAAGATTACTTACTTACTTACTATTTGGCGCAAAGCATTATGGGAGCTTGTCCACTGCATAGAATCGGAAGGACCAGACAATGCCCAAATATGGCCGAATTCCGCTAATCTTTCGGTGCCCAAGGTGGTCCCATGTGCCACTGAGCACAAGTCATTGATTTTAATAGGCCGCCATCTTGGATCACTGGGGCTTGCTCTATATTGACTCAAAAGACTTGGAGCAGCCATTTATTCTTAGAAATTACCTTTTAATTTGACCTAAAATAAGAAAAATGTTGCTCTTTTAATTTTATGTAGCACTGATAATGATATGGCAACATTATTTAAGGTCGATCAGTCAAATGTGATTGTGTTAATGATTCACTTGATTCACTTTTGGGTCTCTAAATGTTGTGTTATATCTTACTACTGTATGTGAACAAATGTAATTAAAGTTTGGTCACCCCTGATCTGCATAGTGACAAGCTGGGGGCATAACCTTGACCGCACAAATTACACAGTATACGTCGGTGTTATTGAAAAGTCCAGAAATGTGAATCTTGACTTGCTGACTGTTTCTGTCCAGGTGTCAGCCCTGGAGCAGGAGCTGAAGAACACTGAGGAGCAGCTCCAGCAGCTGAGAGAAATCAAAGAAGAGCTCACGGAACAATAAGTGTATTCTATTTATATATCATAACCTTCTGTGAGAGGCCGTTTGTGGTACATATCATTGTGCCACAAGATATTACAGCTGCTCTGTATAATTATATATTTGTGCAACTGTGGTGTAAAGGATCTATGTCCAAACTAACTGTCCTGGGGCAAAATTGTTTTACTACCACCATTAAAACATGAGTATGTTCTGTAATGTGATTGAAAGGGCCTCATTATTTTGTGATCAACCTGGTGATGTGAGTCACAGGAAATCACAAACTAGGGAATTGCTTTGGCTCTCGAGGGAAACAAGTTAAAGCAGAATACAAACAATAAGGCATGCATAAATAAGAATCTACATACATTTTTTCAGTTTACTATGTACAAGTGCACTAGGTGCACATGATATACCGTTAAGAGTGCGATAGAGTGCAGTAATGTGACAGTAGTAGACAGTGACGGTCATAAGGGCAGAGGTCAGTGAAGGTTAATGAAGTGTTTGTTTGTCCAACAGCAGAGGGGAGGAAAATGTTCTTGTGGCAGGAGGTTCTGGTCCTGATGGACCGTAGTCTCCTGCCTGAGGGGAGTGGTTGGAATAGTCCATAAGTGTGGTGAGAGGGGTCAGCAGAGATACAACCAGCCCGCCCGCGAGCTCGGGCGATGTACAGGTCCGGCAGCGATGGGAGGGTGCGGCCGATCACCTTCTCCGCAGAGCGCACGTTGCGCTGTAGTCTCTCAAACTCTCTGCAATACTTTTTTTCAATGATAATCAATATGTCTTTCAACTTTTTGTATGCCTTTGCTTTGTTTATGTGTAGACATATGCCTTGACTGAATGGGTTTAATCACTTAAGTAAAGAATGGCGACGTAATGCTGCTTCTTTCACTGCATCATTAATACATACTGTAGGTATGAAGTCGTCATAGGTGCTACTGTAACAAAATCGTAGTAGTGTAAGTCGTTATTATGAAAATATGTGTACCGTACTTTCTGGCGCACCCTTACATAAGCTGCACTACCTATTGTAAATCAATTTTGTCCACATAGGCTGCACTTGAACATAAGCTGCAAGTTGTATGTCGTAATTAGGGATTGAGAGATTCACCAATTCGCTTCGGTGGTTCGAGTCAAGCACTTACGATGCGACTGCACCGGCACATTACAGCCTAACCCTAACCCTGTTTCACCACGGACGGAGCAGCCATCTTCCTGAGGACCCACCACCTGCAGAGGATCGGCGAGGGACTCAGAAATTGACTAATAAAATGGGTTGAAAATGAATGAATGAATGAATTTCAAGTTTTCTCTTTAGATTTGTGAGTGAACATGTGGTTTGGGCTTCAAGACAAAAAATTGTATGTAAATATGTATTTTTTTTTTCAGTTTTACATCCACACACTATACAATAAATATTTATTGTTATCGTTATAGTGATAGTGTCTATAACTATTATTTGCGATATGCACTTCATGTTTTTCATATTTCAGTTGTATGCACAATGCACAATTTTGTTTGTAAATATACTGTCAGAGAAGATTGACCCAGATTATAACTGCATATAGTAAGGACTGTAGACTGTAGTCCAATAGTCAGGTATTAGACTTAGATTTTTGTTGAAAGGGTCTTGTAAAAGTAAAACGAAACCAAAGCATGCGAATACTAGTGACAGAACCAAACTGTTTTCAGAGAGGGAACTAGTAATTTTATTAAAGTTAATTTATTTGAGGTTTGAGCCAAAATATGATAGATTGTGCTCCAATGTTTGCTAAGAGATCTGTGCGAGATTGTAGTCCGGAAGTACACATGTTTGATGTAGCCCAGCGTCATCACTAAACGTCATAAGACACCATCGCACCGGAGATCTTTCCAGCCGAGCCACGGTGCGCTGTTTACGGACACAATGACAATGTGTACCCCGGTTCCGCTTTGAGTGGGAAAAGAACCGCTAGCAGACACCGTGGCTCTGGCTTCCTCACTGTTTCCGATCTAGCAGAGATAATTACGGGGGGAAACAACGTGCCGATGCTGCTTGTGCACACACCGGGGGGAGATGTGCTTTCGGACGTGACTGACTGCAAGCGGAACTGATCAGGCAGGGCGGCGAGAGAAGCTAGCCTACCTCCTACACTACTTATCCCTCGGCCATGGAGGATGCGAGGACTGGAGGAAGGCATGCGTGAGGTGAGTGAGCCAGCCTTCGACTAGCCTCGGCTGTGGTGACCTCAACGCGCGGCTTGAGAATGAGAAAAGCCACCCAGAGCTGTTAGCATTGTAGCTAGCAGCGCACATCGGGTTTTCCCGATCTTCACATTTATGTTAAAAAAACAAGTATGATTTTTTTTTTGTGTGTTTCCCCTCGCTGAGTTCTGCTAATATTTGGTATGTAGTCACAAAAAACTAAACAAATTAATGGTATAAATCAATCACTCACCCGTTAAATGAAATGTTGATACAAATGTTCTTCCATGGCCATGGGAAGCCATCAATAAAAAAATATATATATAATCTGTTATTTACTTTAATTTGTATTATGTATGTACCATGATATACTATGAGACTCCTGTTTTGTGCCTCAATGCACGTGCCCACATTAGGTTGAAGTGTGTATATGAATGATAAACAAGTGTCATGACTGTAATACTGATTACGGTAGATTAATGAAACGATTCGCTTCAGGTAGACTATCCTTTTGGTTAAGTGTATTTGTTGTCACATACACATTACATGCAGTGACATTTTCTTATAGTCTATCATAGGTTTTTCTGAAGGAAAAAATAACTCATCAGTTGCAACATTTCTTTATCGTTTGGTGTAATATAACTCTTATAAGTATCTCCCCTTAATGTAAATGTATTGTGCACTGCTTGAAATGAGGGCTCTTGCCATAGTGATTAACATTGACAAGTTTTAGGTTCCAGCAACATAATGAGAACACAAACATCTGTACTGCTACATTCATCATTTTAATCTGCAACTTATATTGTATATTTCCTGTATGTGTGCTAAAATCATTGATTAATATCCCCAGTGTGGGAAGAATAAAGAATATCTTATCTATTCTACTTCAGTGTACCACAGAGCATGTAGACCTACAGTAGTGACAGTCGTAAGGTCATTTATAGAAATCCTTTGCCCTTCCACACAATCTGTATGCAGGGCTGCTATGAGATTCTGGTAAGGGGGTGTCATGCAGTATAAGGCTGCAAATGATCCATGGTTGTACTTATTGCTGGCTTCTACGTACTGTAATAACATGAATGTGTATATTGTCTTGTTACAAGTACAAAAAATAGGATCAATTATGATGGGGTCTGCAATAAAATATTGGCAACATTTGTTTGGGCCTGTATTTTGAGCATCCTTCAGCAAATGAGATTTGGCCCTCAGCCAAGACATTGGTTATACTTAAGTAATTATACTATTTTAGTTCATATTTGTGGATACCATTTTAATATTTTGACATTACATTATTTTAGTATTTTAACATAATGAGTCAATACAAAAAATGTTAAAGTATTACTATGTTCGTAATAGAATGTATGCTCTGAAATGGACAAACGAGAATTCTTAAAGTGATTGTCTGGAGTTTGTCAGAAAGAGAGACAGAGGTACTTGATTTGAAAAAAACGACGCAAGCTCCCACCCCTTTCCTTTCTGATTGGTCTACATCGACGTTTCCGTAACACTTTTAAATGTTAATCAGAGAACACATTATACATATACATTATTAATACACATGCACGGAGGTTTTCAGAATTATTTGTTAACGTTTTGATGAATAAAATAATGTTTTTATGCACAAAAAAAGCGATCGCGGCAAACCCGGAACAAGCTATTATCATGAATTGCACATTATAGGACACATATGCAGAGGATCTGATTATGGATATAGGTTCAGTATATACATAAGTAACTTTTCACGTAGTTCCAGAGCCTAATAGAGGCTTGATTCGGAGGTTCCGCGAAAACAAACAACTGAGCATGCGCAGAGCTATGAGCATGAGCGCCGATGATTGACAGCCCTTAGCATGACTCGATTGGTTAACGTGGACGGCATCTTGGATTCTGAACTATAGCTAAGAGAAGGGAAGGTGGGACTTGTCGGTAATATTAGAATTAATAAAATGACTTATTTTATATCAACATTTAAGGCCAGGAGGTCAATTTAACACATACCCCTAAAATTTGTAATTCATTTAGAGTTACAAACTATCACTTTAATTGTATGAAAGTGAAGTGTTGGTTATATAGTAGTAGCTGTATACAGAAGGAACAATTCATTGCTTGCATTGTGTTCCTTCAAAGCGATTTTTCTCCAGCTGAACTTTAGCCTGTTTGAACCCATGGGACAGCTGGGATTTCTCTGTGCACAACTGTGATGGCTGTTCCTCTCTCCCGCTGCTCCTGTCTCTTGCCATCTCCTCTGCTCTCCTCTCTCCTCCACTATCCCCTCCCTCCTCTCCTCACCCTTGCTCTTCCCCTGTCTTCTCCTCTCGCCTCCTCTCCTCCTCTCTCACGCTTGTTCTTCCTCTTGTCTCTCCTCCTCTCCCCTTCAGTCTCCCCTTCAGTCTCCTCTGCTGGAGTGTAGGCTCAAACTGGAATCTCCTGGCTTTTTTCACATCCAGGTCAGCAGAGCCAATACATGCATCAAGAGTTCCGAGCTTCCGGCTCAACCGCACGGCATTGTGGGTAGTTTTGACAAAAAGGTGAGCATCAAATCACGCTGCCATATTGGATTACTTGTTGTCAACGTGATCGCTCTCCCCTGTTTCCAGCCCATAGATTATTTTAACAGCTAAAAAAAATCACCAATTTCAGACACTTTGAAGGTAAGGTAAAGATTTTTTCATTTCACAAAAAAGCAATGCATTTTTTTCTTGTGGTTTTAGATGTAAACACAACCGACTGACTATAGAGCTACATGTAGCTTATGCTACTTACGAGGATCGAATGCTTACACGCGAGCTTTATAAACTTGCCCAAAGCTGTACTTTGGAAATATTTGTCTGGTGTGGAGCTTCTGAATGTAGAGAAGGCCAAATACCTGAGGCACGTAATCAGGAGTGACCTCAGTGATGACGATGACATTCAAAGGCAGTACTGTAAGCTGTGTGGACAGGCTAACACTTAACTCATTCACTGCCAGCCATTTAAAAAGCAGCATCCCTCATACTGCCAGAGATTTTGGACATTTTTAGTGTTTTTCCGAACCGCATAGAAATGTGAGCCCTTGGTTGACACAAGTATGAAACATACCAAATGAAAGCTCTATCCCTTGGCTTTCATTAAAAAAAAAAGTAAGTTTCTAACCCTTTTAGTTTTTTAGCAATTGAGAGTGCAACATAGGTAACTTTCACACAAAATGCTGTTTCCTGACCAAGATTTGGAGAAAACAGCCTTTTTGTGAAACGCACATTTTCAAGCAGAAAAGTGTTTTTTTTTGTCTTTACTGATATTTTACAATGTATGACAGTTTCTTACTATGACACAAAACAGAAACAATACTTTGAATTGTATTTTTAATGTATAATTATTTTTAAACAAATTAAACGTGTACACACAATACACGCAAAGGATTGTCTTATGTACACATAAAATATTCAACTTGTATACAATAAACACTTTGTATACAAATATACAGTAAAAATAACACTTTCTGAACACTTTGTGAAACAATTTTACTTTAGTTTATAAAGAATAGTAATTGGGTGACCCCACACTCTGCTGAAGTGTGGGGTGGAATCTACTTCCTCCGCACTCCCAATACATTTCCAGGTTAGTTTTTTTTTTACAAACCCAGAGAGAAATGTCAAACCAAAAAAGGTTTTTAGCTGCTAGACTGTCACTGGCTTCCATGCAGACTCTGGGATCAGAGCAACAGAGTCTCTCTCCCTGTTCCAAAGCAGCAGCGGGCGCGCTCCGGACGCACCCTCCACAGTGAGACGCACCACAGCAGAATGCACATGGTGCGGTAAATCTAACACTTGTTGCTCATCATGGATCTCGCTCACCGGTCTGCCATGGATCACCTTCCCCTGTCCCTTCTATAAACCACACGGTAACATCATCCATAGCTCCCTGGCAGCTAATGCTGCATGCCAGATTCACACGCCTCCAAACTCAAGAGAAACTTTTGGAAAAATGTCCCACGTAATCAGATTCAGATTCATTTTATTGGCCATGTGCAGTAAAACTACATTGGAAATACATGCAAAAAGAGGTACTCTGTGTGCACCGACAGAATAAAAAGCACGATACAATGTAATATAAATACACATACACTGAATATAAAATAATAAATAATAAAAAAAACAGCTGACACTGTGGCACCGATCGACAAAACAATACAAGGGGTAAAAGCAGTTTAAAAGCAGGTAAAAGCAGGAATTAAAATGCTCTGTTTAGGCACCTAACAGCCTGTGGAAAGAAGCTGTTAGCATAGCGAGATGTCTTGCATCTCAGTGGCCGGTATCTTCTGCCAGAGGGAAGAAGCTGGAACATGGCTTTCCCAGGGTGGCCAGAAGAGTCACCGATGATTTTAAGAGCTTTGTTTAAAAGTCTGGATTTGTAAAGAACCTCCAGAACAGGAAGCTCACAGCCCACGGTCCTCTTTGCAGAGCGGAGCACCTTGTTTAAAGCTCTCTTTTCTTTATCTGTGATGTTTCCAAACCACACAGACACAGAACCAACAAGTAAACTTTCAATGGTGCAGCGATAAAAGTTCAGCAGAATCTTAGAGTTAGTGGTAAATTCTCTAAGTTTCCGCAGGAAGTAAAGACGCTGACGGGCTTTCTTTACGACCCGGTCAGTGTTTTTTGCCCATTTCAGGTCGTTAGACAGAGTTAAGCCCAGGAACTTGCACTCCTCTACGATCTGCACCTGGGAGTTGTCAATAACAACAGGAGTGTGAGAACTGCTATGACTGAAGTCAAAGACAAGTTCACATGTTTTTGCAGTGTTCAGCTGGAGATTGTTTACTTTACTCCACTGAAAACCATGTTCGATCTCTGCTCTATAAGAGGAATCATCATTGTCACTGATGAGACATCAGGTCATATTTGATGATCAGATTTGAGTCAGAGGAGGACACACAATCGTGAGTGTACAAAGTAAAAAGCAGGGGACTCAAAATACATCCCTGAGGAGAACCAGTGCTCACAGAAACAACATCAGAAAAACAGTCATTGATTTTTACTCTCTGAGATCTGTCAGTTAAAAAGCTAAAAATCCATTTACACATGGCAACATTCAGACCAAGGGACATTAGTTTTTCAACCAATATGCTTGGGACAAGACAATTAAAAGCAGAGCTATAATCAATGAACAGCATTCTCGCGACAGATTTACTAGTGTCCAAATGAGTGTAGACAGAGTTCAGAGCAAAGGAGATGGCATCCTCCACACTCCTGTTCTGTCTGTAAGCAAACTGGAGCGGGTCAACACTCACAGGGATCTGGCTCTTAATAAACTCCAGCACGAGCCGCTCAAAAGTCTTCATAAGAACAGACGTGAGGGCCACAGGGCGGTAGTCATTGAGACATGTCACTGGAGACTTCTTAGGAACTGGAATAATGGTGGACCTTTTAAAGCTCACCGGCACCGTACAGCTCCTGAGTGACAAGTTAAAAATGTCCGTTAAAACAGGGGCAAGTTGCTCGGAGCACAGTTTCAGGACGCAGGGAGGAATGCAGTCCGGGCCTGCGGCTTTCCGAGCTGTGGTCCTGGACAAGACCCGCCGTACTTCCTCCTGAGTCACTGTGAAGGCACCCTGACATTCGGGGAAGACAAAAGGCAGGGGATCAGCAGATTCAAAGCGGCAGTAAAAGTCGTTGAGCTCGTTTGGCAGAGTTTGGCCAGCAGCAATTTTCCCTGCACTTGGTTTCCAGGACGTGATAAGACTGATCCCCTTCCACATGCGTCGGGGGTCCTCTTCCCCAAAGAAGCCCTCTAACCTGTCCCCATAGGAACGCTTAGCAGCTTTTATAGAGCGTTCCACAGCGTAGCAGGACAGCTTGTAAGCGCCCTCGTCACCGGATTGAAACGCCAGTGTCCGCTCATTGATTCTAAGTTTGACATCAGTGTTCATCCAAGGTTTTTGGCCGGAGTGTTCTTTGATAATTTTATAGGGGACACAACAATCAATGCAAAATTGTATGTATCCTATCACAGCCTCACAGAATTCATCAACATTCTCAGAGTTAAAAACAGACCAGTCTGTGGCATCAAAGCAGCCCTGCAGCTTCATGTTAGCCTCCTCAGACCAGCACTGCACAGTGCGGGAAGTAGGTTTGTGCTGTTTGTTCCTCTGTGTATAAGAAGGAAGAAGGAGAACAGCGGAGTGATCAGACTTCCCAAAAGCAGGTCTGAGACTGGACCTGTAAGCTGCCTTCACGTTACTATAGCAGTGATCCAGGATGTGAGCTCCCCTAGTAGGCTGACTCACATGCTGATAAAAGTTCGGTAATACAGACTTTAAGTTACATTTGTTAAAATCACCACCAACTATAATCACAGCATTGGGGTGAGCAGCTTCATGTTTATGCAAAATGTCACTTAAGTCATTCAGTGCAGCTGTACAGTCAGCCCGAGGATGAATATATACAGCACATAAAAAAATCACTGAGAATTCTCGGGGAAGAAAGAACGGGCGGCATCTCAAAACCAGACACTCCAGGTTAGCAGAGCATGTTTTGTTAACAATAAAACTGTCAGTGCACCAGCGCTGGTTAATTAAAAAACACACACCTCCACCTTTCGATTTTCCTGTGCTCTCCTTCTCTCTGTCCGAGCGGAAAATGGCGAATCCCGGCGGCTGAACAGCTGAGTCCGGGATATTGGGATGTAGCCATGTCTCGCTGAGGCAGTACACTGCGCAGTCCCGAGCCTCGCGCTGGTACTGGATACGGCTCAGGAGATCATCCGACTTGTTCGGGAGAGACTGAACGTTTGCAAGGTAAATGGGTGGCAGTGGGACCCTGGGGGCGCGACTCCGCACGAGAAGCCCGCCACGCTTTCCCCGGTGTCTGCGCTTCCTCCGTCGGCGAGAGACACCCGGCTCCGCACGGCGGTGAACACGGGGGAGGCGCCCGGCCTCATCGCCCTGTTCCCAGTCTCTGTCGCGGTCCGCACGCCGCTCTCCTCGGGCTGGGCACTCCTCAAAGCCCTCACACCTAAGAGCAGGCGACACTGACTCACAAGCCAAGTCCCGTAAGTCCAGGAGAGTCTGTCGATCATATGCCACAGTGGCAAGTGTTTTGTGAAAGGATAAAAACAGTGAAAGGATAAAAACAATCACGGTGCACAACGGAGCTCTTGCAGCGGCGCCCTGGCACGGCGCCATCTTAGGACGCTAATATGTCGGCAACCATGCCGGCACATGCGCCACTGAGCACAAACCTTTCGTTTTAATACGGCGCCATCTTGGATCGCCGGGGGTTGCAAGTGGGTCACAAAAGGGACAATACTTTTCATGACTGCATAACAAGCCAAACAGTAAAGCTCTTTCCTTTATAAAGTTGTCCTTGTAAAAATAGGCTCTATTATTATTATGTGATTCCCTGGTGTCCTGGAGCACTACCTTGTCACTTTAGTAGACTTATTTTGGAAGTAGGAAGTGGTTTTTGACATGGTCCTGTCCTCCCTGTGGTGAAGATCAACTCTGGTCCAAACAGCACAACAACCTTTCTCACTGCTGTTCCAGGTTGACACAGCAGTCCAACATGTGTCCATAAACAGTTTTATGCAGTGTGTAAAGCACTATAGTAGTTAAAGTGGTTCTCACCCCCGCTCCTCGGAGCTTACGTCACTCACATTTCCTGTTTTTTTTTTTTCCTCTAAATGGGCGTAGCCTGAAGGACTAAAGGGGGCGTGGACGAGACTGGGCCGTTTATATAGCTCTGGGCGGGGGGCTGCTGACGTCAGGTCTTGCTTCAGACGTCAGGTCTTGCTGGCGCGCCAGTGTTGGCGCCAGATTCAAAATTCAAATGTAGTAATACTGGTCACCAGCAGATGGCGGTTTTAGGCAGAAAGTTTAACTTTCAACTAATTTGCACCAAAGTGACAAAATTATGACCAGGATATGTAGACAACACTATTGGACACTCATTTATACCGTTTATCAGCAAAAAAAAAGTGGATTTGAGGGTGAGTTGTCCTTTAATTTGTCCAATTTCAATTAAACGATTAAACTGATGTCTGTAGTTTCCTGCAATAGGTTTTTTACTTTTTAAATGTTTAGGCAGAATAAAACTTTTATTTCGTACTGACACTCTTTTTCTTTGTTGTCTCACCACGGTCTGTATTGGCCATTATGTTCGGGATCCTTATCCAAAGCTCATTACCAATATGTGAGGGTGGGAGCATAGGGATGACATTTGTGGGAAAACAATTATATGTCTGTTTGACACAAACGTGCTTCAGTACTAATTTGAAGAAAGGTGGTGAAGTTGCTGGAATTTTCTGACTGCTGTTTTGTGTCTCTGTCTGTTACAAACAGCATGGGCGGACAACGCTAATGCCTGTGCAGTGCAGTACGCAGGGACTGGGGCCCTCAAGACAGACTTCACAAGGTAAATCCCCACATTTTACTGAATATGACTGTTGAATATTGTTTCTCGTGGCATTGGAAGTGCCACAGATTTTGATCACAATAATAGTGACTCTAATTTCCTCCCAGTTTTGGTTTTTAAAATAAAAATCAGTCGGCAGATGATTATTTTGTGGATTAATTATAACACACACCGGAAACCTAGTTAGTCCTGTGATATTTTCATATCCTTGGAGGTACCGATTCCAAAGTGTTCTGTCTGCTCCTTCCAGGACAGGGAAGAGGACCCAGTGGGGACTTCTCATGGACGGCTGGAACTCCATGATTCGTTACTACAAGAACAACTTCTCAGACGGCTTCAGACAAGTACGATATTCATTTTCCACAAATTTACTTTCCATTAGGGGTGCCCACTTTATCAATATAAAGGAATATTCAGGATAAGAAGATCCTTTATTCGTCCCACAGTGGGGAAATTTCAGTTTGATAAATACATACACATAGGGCTGGGCGATATGAATAACTTATATTGTGAAAACGTTTTCAGCCATATCAGCTGATATCAATTAATTATTTATTTTTTAACTATTTTTTCATGCTCCCGTAACTTTATGCAACTGCTTAGAGTGTGTTCGCTGATGAGGAAGTACCGTTTGATAATAAAATAAACTTATTGCGCACCTCCGTGAACACATACCACTGTTGTATAAAGTCCGTGGAAGGTCTCTGAACACAGACACGCTGCAAAGCTGCATTATTGGAGAAGATCTGTACAGAAGAAGCCGCTAGCTAAACTCTGTTAGCATCAGAGCCAGCCGGCTACTTCCGGCGCGCGCCAGGACCTCTGGTCTGAAGACCCCTGGGTCTGAATACTAGAGAACGTGCGTTTCAGCGTTGCCTGTCTGAAAGTACCATAAGAGGCAGAGCACCACCAGCTCAGCCTCGTCCAGAAACATGTCTGACCTCAGTCAGGCTGCAAAGCTGTATAGAACGAGATAAGACACACCTTCCACAGGAAGAGAAACCAATAGACAACAAAAGAACAATGTGACAGGGCCTTCTCCATTAGCATCCTTAACGCCCGCTTAGGCTCCAACCCAGACTTCCTGGCGCCAAAGTTTAGCACACAGTACATAATTTAGCCTCATATGATTTACTAAAATGATCGCAATCAGAGCCGCCACCCAAGTCTCAATGCACCAGTCCCTCGCTGTTCCTCCTGCAGGTGGTGAGTCCACGGGATGATGGCTTCTCCGTGATCAAAGTCATGGCCTTGGTCTTTCAGCGGGGGCTTCAGGCAATGTAGGGTTAAGTTTCTTGCCCAGGGACACAACGACAGCAGACATCAGTGGGAGCAGATGACATGGTGGTGGGCTCGAACCCACGACCATTAGGTCCAAGGACCAGTGCTCTACCAACTGAGCGCTCTTGGCCTGCTCCTTTGATCATTGTTGCATATTGGGTAATTCTAAAACAAGTAAACCAAGAAATAGTTTCAAAGTTTCAGAGTGACTTTTAAAACAAGTATTCTAAACCTGGTGTGAAACTATTCTGTAATTCTTGCTACTTTCTTAGACTTTCCTCACACATTCTCAACTCTTTCTTGTAAAATCTCTTCCAATGTATTTTTCTATCTTATTCAACTTTCTCTTCCCCCGGCTGAAAAACTAACTTTTTTTCTCTTTCTCTTCAAATTATTAGTTTACCCAAAAATTTAAAATTTCACTAAACCAAGAAAACCAAGAAAGGGTTTCAAAGTTTCTGTTGAGTTGTGCCACTTATCGAATTGAGCTGCCTCAGCTGTTTATGATGTAATGCAAACCTGCGCATGCGCGTTTCACGGCAGCCGAAGCAAACAAAGATAGCGGACATAAAGTCTGTGAATTGCTTTAAAAGTTTACATGCGGACGAATTAAGACACACATGTCACTTTTAAAGCAATTTGAGGTAAGATGTTGATAGTTTCATGTTGTGATATGTGGTTTTTAGGAGTCAAAGTTTTGTGTAAAGTTTGGTTTAAGCAGTCAACTGCTCCTGTGAAACCACACTGCTCCTGTGTGATAGCAGTATCTTTCCTGTCGAGTTGAGCTGCGACATATGTCATGTAAAAAGAAAAAAGCCTACAGAAAGTCATAGTTTTTCATATAAAACCTCAAATTATCAGTTTAAAACTAGTTTAGAACTTGAGATTACGAGTTTAGAACTCTAAATTCTCGAGTCCATCCTCTCCTCCTCCATCACAGTGTGGTTTGCTGGAGCCACAGTCAGGGACAAACAGAGGCTACAGCGCATCGTGCGCTCTGCAGAGAAGCTGGAGGCCAGGCTAGTCGTATCACTGCTGACCCCTCTCACCCTGCACATGGACTATTCCAACCACTCCCCTCAGGCAGGAGGCTGCGGTCAATCAGGACTAGAACCTCCCGCCACAAGTTCAGTTTCTTCCCCTCTGTTGGACTCTTGAACACTTCATAACCTGTCCCCCCGCCCTCTAGAAGTCCCCTACTGCTCTTTATAATGTAAGTAAGTAAGTAATCTATATTTATATACCGACTTTCACATACCAGAGTCACAAAGCGGTTCACAATTGTTACTTTTGGGCATTTGTCCTCCCACTCCACACAGAGATGGGAGCAGGGTCGCCAGTACACGATGCGCATACCAGAACTATTGTACATGTTTTTAGTGGTAGGGGAAACCGGCGTACCCGGAGGAAACCTACGCAGCCTCGGGAAGAACATGCAAACTCCACTCAGAAAGGCCCTGCTCCGACCGGGATTCAAACCCAGGACCTTCTTGCTGAGAAGCGAGAGTGCAATCCTCTCAGCCACCGTGCCGCCCCAAAGTAATGTCACTTTACTGCCCATCATACAACACTGTACTTCACTGTACTGCTGTCATCTTACATTGTGTGCACTTGTATATTGTATATAATATATGTAACTATTTTAAATTTATTCCTTAGAAGTGCTTTTATTCTTTATTTTTTATTATGCCTATTCTACCCTTATCTCTTTCTGACTGTTGCACTGAGCCAAAGCCATTTCCGAGTCTGTGACTTCCTGTTACTTGCGTGGCAGTAAAAATTATTCTGATCCTGAAAAATATTGTGAGACTAACTCTTGCTTCAATACAAGAAGTCAAAAAGAGTTTGCCAAGTGGCACTAACTATGTGGAAAAAATATTTTAAAAAATCCCAAAAAGTCTAATAATGACTCACAGGGCTCTTAAGTAAGCAAGATAAACAAAACATGACTGTTGTGACTGTTGTGGTTTGTTTTGTTATGTTCACAACATTTTACTTTTGTGCACAAATAACATGCATTGTCTATGCACGCGAAAATGTAGGCACCTGAGCTTTAATTCAGTGAGTTCTGGCTGCGTTTTGTGAGGAGACTTGGGGGAGACGTGGGAGATACCTAGGGAAGAGACAAGGGGGAGAGACGGGGGAGATGTGCAAGACCTGCACATACAACAAGCTGGGGATGGTCCTGATCGTGCCTGTATGATTTTGTCCGCGTGTCTATGGTCCGCGGTACATGACCACAATACGGCTGCGCGTTCACTGAGCTGTCAAAGCGGCCACAGTTGCTCCCGGGGCAAGAACAGAGGATGTTAATCCCGTTCAAGTACGTAACGCAAACAACTCCCCGCGAGATATTTTCAGCCAGAAAAAGTCGGAATCCGTGGATCCGCAGATAATTCTCATCACTGGTATATGTTGATGCATTTCATTGATCAATGAAGAGAATAGGTCCAAAAAAGACGTGTCCGCTTTCCCGGCCTTAAAGGTAGAAGTACGCAACAGCGCTCCTGGCTGGAAAGGTAGAAATGCAGGAATGTGTTCCTGGCCTCAATGGGTTAATAACATTATTATACTGAAGAAATCCAATAATAAAACATCTTACTATGAATACCCACTAAGATTTGTCTGAGAGCCAGACATAATCATCAAAAGAATCTTAACATTGACAAATGCCAGCTCTCAGGCTCCTATATTTGTGATTGCAAGTGGCACCACTAAAACGCATGTGGAAGCAGAGGGAAAGTCAATGTTTTGTTTTTTCATCTAAATAGATTTAAAAAGATCTTTTGACAATAGTATAGTAATTTTTTCTGTGGGTCTGCAACGACTCTTTACTGTGACATGCTGTAAATGTCCTTTTTCTCTCATCAGGACGCCATTGACCTGTTCCTGGGTAACTTTGCTGTAGACGAGACAGATGGACCGACCCCGCTCAGGGAGCAGAAAGACTGGAAGTTTCTCACTGTATGTTTTGTGCTAAATTTTTTCACGTTTACACTATTGAGTTTTAGAATGTGAGCCATCTGATGCTCTGTGCTCCGTCTACAGCTGCCCATCATCATGCTGGTGGCCTTCTCCATGTGCATCGTGTGTCTTCTCATGGCTGGTATGTCTCATGACCCACATGTAGAGTTAGTGACTTTTAGGCAGATAGAAAATGTGTTCTCATTTTAAAACTTTGTTAAACTGGTTAATTTAACTTGGACATCAGCAATAAGTTTTATGAAAGGCTACCAAACGCTTACTGCAAGTAAACATTGTTATGGTAATTAGCAGGTTGCAAGGCCACCAAAAATGGCTACATGTGAGTATTTCATTCAGCAGTCAATTACTGCTATGGGAGTTATAGATAAAACTAATCACGAATCAAAAACAATGATATCATGAAAATAATTACATAGAAATAAACGGATACAAAGTCACAAAGTTAAGATGTCCAAACATGTATATAAGCAGAGTAATTACGCAGTAAATGTGACGGCGGTTCTAGTGTTAACCAGACTCAACATGACTGAATGAAAGCAGATATAAGACCTGTCTTAATTTCCTTCTTGAGAATGATTACATATTCTAAAGTGCCAAATGCCCTCCAGGTGACACGTGGACAGAGACCCTGGCCTACGTCATGTTCTGGGGAGCAGCTAGCACCATCACTGCTGCCATCATCCTGTACAACGGCCAGGACTTTGTGGACTCTCCCAAGCTGGTGCACAAGGAGAAGTTGGACTGAAGTTTGTGTGTGCCTGTGTGAGTGGCAGTGTCTGAGACTGAGCGGCTCTGGGCTCCCCCGTTACCCTCCCACACCACTGCACCCGACCGGTCCAATCCGTTGCACCACATACTGTATACATCTGTTTGTTTTAAGTTTGAAGGAGTTGGCTACATAATGAGAGGTGGGCAATATTACTTTTTTTGCAGAAAAGGGCCATTGTCCCACTAGATTTATCTGCTTGCACAGTTAAAGGACACATATTATGCAGAGGCTTTTTTGTGCTTTCAGCTAGGTTACATTTGGTCCCACAACACAGAGGTGAGGTTTTTGCTCCTGCTACCCTAATATAATCAACTTCTGGCATTCACCATGTGCTCTGCTGTCAAACTCTACACTACTTACACCTGCTTGCATTTCCTTTACTGGTACTGCCGGTTATGAGTGAATCCAGGGCAGATAAAACTAGCTCTGCATCAGTAGCAGAAAAAACTGGAACTGGTGAAAATTTGAGTTTTGAGTATTCTGGGTGCCCTCTTCTTACCTTTTATCCATGATCCATGTTTCTCCTTATATTCTATTGCATGGAAGGTATAAGTAAACATTCTCATGATCATGTGTCTGATAGAACAAGATAATATTTTTCCACACTTGTCACATCCATCGATAGAGCTGTTGGAACTGCCTTGTCAGATGATCTGGTCATTCTGAGATACTATAACAATTCTTTTTTTTTTTCTCCAGACCGTTAACACGAGATGGCAGTAAAAGGCAGAAAACATGATTCCCAAAGTAAAAGTAGTCGAATGTTTGCATAATGTGTGTCCTTTGAATAGGATTGCCCAACTCTAGTGCCCTCTAAACTGGATGATTTTAATCACAAGTTATACAGCTTTCAGCCATTATTTTAGACAATGTGTTGGCACGTTTGTCTATGACCAACTCTACTGTGAAATAATATATAAATGCTCTCAATTGGATTTCAAAGTTATGGTTTAACGACCTTTGGAGCCAAGGTAATGGGTTGATTGTAGCATGTGTAACCACCAATAAATCTTAATATGAGAAAAAAAATTAGGTTGCTTATAACTATTGTGATTAAAGTCTATTCATTTCCATTTCCAAGCATTTCTCAGCCAACTGTTCATACCTTTCTTTTTTTAAGTGATGGTGTGAGATGCAAAAGTCTATTCAACACTTTCCACTCTGCATTTATTGTCAAATGTTGTAGAACGCCCCCTATTGGCCTCATTAGACATAGAATACTCATGCACGCACACAGACAAATACTTTGCTTCCGGAGAGTTCCTTCTGAATGTATCGAGCCTTAAACATGAGAACGTAGCTGCTTTCTGTGGAAACGGAGCTGCTTCTTGTTGGCTTTTGCACATCGACCAGCCATGCAGTGTGCTGCTGGTCCTTGGTTGTTATTCTTTTAATCATGGCCATGGTTTAACCTGTGCTTGGGCCTTTAGACAGGATATATTAAGAAATGGGCCAGGAGTGACCCGCGGCAGAACAGAACATCTTCAAAAGTATTAATCTGAACTACGTTTTCAGGCTAGTTTTCAAATCTGATCATTCTATGCTTAAAATCCTAGTCCAAATGGCTCCTTCTGAGACTTTCACCTCCACACTTTATTTTGGTTTTCGGTTTGGGATGAGACACAAGATTGACGCCAGTTTCATGTGATCTTGAAAAATCTACGTAACCTTCCAACACGCAGCTGCAACAACAACAATTAATAAAAATGTGCAGACATGTACCTGGATTCTAATACAGGAAAGTAATGTGCTTATACAAAACAATTGTAGATAGTTATGCGAAGCTTTTGTGGCCATAAACTCCCTAATTGTAATTTTAAATAGTCTTTTGGCTTAAGCATGTTGAAATAGCAAAGTAAAACCATCTTTGATACTTTAAATGCAACTCCCCCTTAGTCTCTATTCTTTCATCTAATTACAAACTCTCTGTCTCTGCCCTCTGGTCTCGGCCCCTGGTCTCGGCCCCGGTCTCAGCATTCATTCCCATTTTTCTGAGCATCCGAGATTGCATGAAGGCAGCCTCTGTTCAGAATTGTAATCCAGTCAAGTCATGTCAAGTAAAGATTAAGTCGAAGACAACTTTCACAGAGTCGAGTTTGTCAACCTGCACACTGTGTGGATTTGTACCTCTTGAGCCCTTTTGGCACCTCTAATGCAAACTGGTGTCATATTTTTGGTTAGAAGCAGCACGCATGGATTTGGTTTGGTTCCAAAACAGTGTATTGCCCACAGTTACACATCCTGTCCTTCATCTGAAATTTATACTGGTATGTTATGTGGTTAACTTTTTTATCAAATTGACTGTAAAATGTTTAATACATGAATCTAACCAACAAGTATGAAGCCAGTGGTTGAGAAAAAAAGCATATGTAATGTATAATGTGTTTTTGAAATCCAGGTCTGGTTCTGTTAACGGTCTGAAGCCAGGTTCTCTGCTTGTATAAACACGACGTAACATATGGACCAAAACTGCAGTGTAAACATGCTCTTTATGAACTTACTATAGCTCTAATAGTTCCTGCGTTATGTGCGTTTGTAGAATGATCAAAATGTGTTCCATTGACATTCACAAACTAAAATAAGAGTAAGGAGTAGGAACATTTGCGTGTCACATATATAAGGACCCATGTGTTGTTTTCAAAAATAAAAATGGAGAAAGATTGTTTAATATTGCATCTTCTGTTTTTCGGTATCCTGCTGAGGTGGTCATGGCGTCGCTGTGCACTTTTCATACATTACCTCTTTATAATATTCAGTAAAACTGTTTTTCCCAGTTCCGTAGGATACTTTGTGATCTTGTCTGGGGATGTGTTTTCACTATGCCTTTGTCTCATTCATTCCAGATGTGTCTTGAAACATGTTCTTTTAAATGTATTTTTTAAAGTCCGTTCCTGTAGTTTTCTTATGCGACTTCAGATGCACTTAATGGGATGGTTTTATGGGGAAGAGTGTGGCTTGTATTTGCGGCAGACTCATGAGAGCAGTGCTGGCCCTTCATTCTAACTGTACTGAGAACATAGTTATGAAAAGATGTACACGTATTGTTGGAATGCACACTATGATCTGTGCTCTAACACCATTTTAAACACTACTTATTAACTTTGATTTGTGTGCATGAGATCAATTCAATAAAATTTCAATAAAAAAAGGTTGTGAGATCTCATTTCATTGTACAATATTTTCAACACGTGGTAAAACAAAAGTCACGTTATCCTGAAAAGAAAGTTGATTAGGTTGCACATTGGCCTATTGGGATAGTTGGTGTTGAAAAGAACGAATCAATTATTTTCTGCCAGGCCCTTTCAGGAGGAAGATAAAATTTTGGCGCCCCACACTTCCATCCCTGCCGAAGACTTTCTGACCATACGCGTGCACGTCCACAAGAGGGCGCTGCTGCGGCGTGATCGTGGGTCTATGGACTGTTCTTGGTGATGAGGCGGGATTTCCTCTCTCCTGCGGCTGCATCTTCATCCTCCACCTGGTGTTAGGATGTGCACATGCAAGTGGTGATCTAGCACACAATCGGTAAGGCGAGCTGAGAGGCGGCCACAGCACAGACACCAGGGCTGGAGAGCTGAGAGGCGGCCACAGCACAGATACTCCCGGGGAGGAGAGCATGTGCGTGGGCTTGTGACAGCTGGGTGTTACCTTGATTTGGCAGAATCCACTTCAGGTATGTGATGTGACATAAGAATACAACCAGTTTCTTCACATAATCCTTTAGCATGAAGTCTAAAGAAGGCCCCGGTATCATTTGCCCTACTTGTTTTGTAGAAGGTTTCCAGGGTCTGTCCTGTTATAGATTTGTTATGTTCTTTGCGTGAGGCATGTTCAATATTATTCTGTATCTAGCTCTTAACCCTCACAATTAACATAGTTTAACATCTGCACAAAATAATGAAAACAACGGTCCCTGTGTATAGTTAGTATCGAATGATGAATTGCACACGTTTTGGATTTTGCATCATTCAAGGAGAACTCTGCACATGCTTCACATCATGAAGGCCTGGGCCTTTGTGTGTGACAGCTGTAACCTGAGCATCAACATCTGGAGATTCATTATTTGAGTGATTACTCTTCTAATCATTACTTTATTGTTTACAGTATATACATAAAAAGGGGAATAATGACAGCCCAGAGGCAACACACTTCACACATTATCTCACACACAGTGGTTGTTTTGGGACGGTCTTGTGGACTAATGCAGTAGCCTTGCTTCTCTCAATTTGGCGCTGGGCAGCTGTGGCTTCAGTATTCTTTTAACTTCACCTGTTCAAAGTGAATAAATATGTCTGTATGACTTTCTGGTGCTTGATTAAGATAACAGGGTAACAAGCAAGCCCTCAGAGAGATTCTTCTTCTTCCTTAAAGTATCTTCTCCACAGAGAACATGTAAAAGCAGACCCCTGTGACTTTCTTGCTTCTACTTGAATTCAATGTGTTTGATGAATGGCCGCTGCTTGTATCTGTGCTCATCAGTGGAAACATGTCGGACAAAAGTGACCTGAAAGCCGAGCTAGAGCGCAAGAAACAGCGTTTGGCCCAGATCCGCAAGGAGAAGAAGAGGACAGAGGAGGAGAGGAAGAATAAGGTCCGGAAGGTCAGTGGCGGAGCCAGCATGCCATCAAAACACCAGCTTACACACACGCACACGCACACACAAACAGTGCTTCTCAAAAGTATTAATACAGCTTGACTTTTGCACATTTTGTCGAGTTCTCATGTTGTTATATATATATTTGGCTCTACCCACGTCCATAAAGGCCAGATTTGTGAAGAATACCATTGATAGTTGTCCCATTTAGAAATTCCTCCAGCTCAGCAGCAGTGCGTCACAGCTCTTCCAGTCATCTTGGGGCACTTAGTTGCCTTTCTGAGTGCTCTCCTTAATTGATCTGTTATTTTAGGTGCATGGCTGTGTCTTTGTAAGTCTGCAGTTGTGCTATACTCTTTCCATTTCCAAATAATGGATTGAA